TTTAACGATTTCGGTTAATATTGAGAGGGGTAAAATGTTAAATGGATTCAATTGGAAGTAAACCTTTTTTGAGTTATCTTTCATCATACAAAAGTAAATACAAATAAAAATAGAAATAACATTTGCAACAAGCATTAAAAAAAAAATGTAATTAACAGGCAAATATAACGTACGTAATGGTATTCAACTGTTTCTTTGATGTTTGTTAACACTGTACAACCGTATAGTGCTGGACAGCGACGAACAGCTGGCACTTTTGTCATTAATTAGTGCTTTTGCCCAACACAGAGAAAATATACAAATCATTCGTTTTAGCAGTTTTTTTTTACGCAGCCAGAAAATTTAACGTAGACAAGTGAAAAGTGTCTTATAAGTTGCAGTTAAAGCAGCATAACTAGAAGAACTGCTGCCGTCTGTTGCACTTTGGCATTTGCAGCAGCGCAGAGACGAATCCCAATTAAGAAACAAAAATTATGTGCTGAGTGGGGGTGCGCGATTGATCAGCTGGGGGAAAATACAACAACAGCAGCAGCAGCAGCAGCAGCAGCAGCAGCAGTACGAGCGGAACTGCTGACTACAATTGCAGCGTCATGTTTGGGTTTGATGGCGAGTATCGGCGCCGACCGGTGCAAAGTCTTGGGGGCGCCTCGCAGACCTGCGACAGGGACACGGCCATACGCAAAGCGGCCCTGGAGCGTCAGAAACGCAACGAGCTGCGCCAGAAGACGCACGGCGCCGTTGTGTTGCAATCGTATGCCCGCTCCTTTATCTATCGCCAGCGACGCAAACGGGCTGAACGGGAAGCCTTCGATGCGTATCTGCACGCTCACCGGGATCGTGTTACCGAGGATGAGAGCATGTGCTTTTTACTGCGGCGCCTCACCTTTTTCTACAGCAATCGCGTGGCCAAGGACAGCGAGCGACTGGTGAGTCAGAGCTAACAATTCGCTTAGATAGTTTTATTGATTTGAATGCATTTTTAGATCGAAATCTGCCAGCCGATCCTGCGGAATCCGGTACGCTTGCTGCAGCATTCAGCTCACGACTCCGTTTGGCTGCTGCGCGTGTGCAAGATTTTGGATGCGTGTCTGTTGCAGTTGGCGCTGCCACATAGCGCTCAGGCTATACCGCTGCGCATGCTGGAAACATTTACCACAGTGGCATCCGTGGAGCGCTATGTGGAGGATGAGGCGGTGTTGTACAAGTATCTGGAGCGTGTCTTTGTCTTCCTCATTGCGCGAAACTATTTTGTGCGTTTGCGCCAGCTGTTAGATGAAAAGTGCCCGCCGCTGGACGGCGAAACACTGCATGCTCCTACTCCGTTCGTCGATGCACTGATGCAGCTGCTGCTGCGACCGTTGAGCGTGGCCATGCGCCAACCGGGCAACGAGTCATCACAGCTCTTCTGTCGCAGGTTCATTATCGATATTTTGGCCACGCCACACACGGAGCCGCTGCGTCACTTTGTGTTGCCTTGTCTGGCCGAGAGCGAAGACTTTCCCTTTGCGTTGCTCATGCACGCGCTGCATGCACTTCTCGACTTAAGCCAGGCCACGTCCGGCTCTGAGCCAGCGATCACAGATAATGGCAAGCCCAATACTTTGTTATACGGTGTCCTACAACCCGATGAAGTCAAGCAGCTGAAATCGCAGCCGCGTGAAGCCTTGTTTAGCTCATTTTTGTTAAACTCGCTCCTGGTGCTGGATCGCAGGCAATTGGGTGAGTGTCTATGATCTTCTTTCAAAGCAACAACATAATTTTATGACCCTTCTACAGCCTCACTGCAGCAGAGCGACTTGCTGATTGTCTATGTACGTGTCCTTGCCCAAATGATGCCCAACATATTGCAGCTGCCCAAGTCGACGCTGCGCACACATGCGACACCACATCGCCACACAGACTCCGATGATGACGAAGACACGGATGAGTCCGACGAGGAGGGGGAGGACCTGCCAACGACTCGCACTATTGATTATGACATGTTACAGTCCTGCCGCCCCACAGGCGAACTGAGCAGCAAAGAGCGCAACAGTCTGTTGGAATCGATAGCCATATTAAACGAAACGCAGCGCGTGGATTTTATTGTGCAGCAAATTGAGCCGCACATTGAGCAGAGCCAGGTGATCTACGCGCTCTGCGAGATCTGTCACAATCTGATGATATACAATAAGCATGCGGTCTATGAGTACAAGTATGATTTTATCTATTGCTACTTCTCGCTATGTGCCTAATTTCGTCCTGATTTTTCAGACTGCTGTATACTTTGGCCTTTACGCCAAAATTTATACGCGCCGTATGGTTTAAGTTGGCCGCCGAGTCAACGCAACTGGGCTTCTCAGCACCGCTCACACTTATTTCTAAGGGCGTTGTGCGTAAGTATAAAATCAAAGTATTCACAATTTGAATTAAAAGCTAATGCAATTGGTTTCGGCAGCCAAGCAACAGGGCGTGGATCGTACTATACCCTTGCTGGCCACGTTTTGCATGCTCTTTGGCCGCCTGCTGCCCACGCTGCACGATGTGGAGTTTGTCGAAAAAAAGCTATTGGAGTCGGCCCCGCCGAATCACGTACGGCTCATGCCATTTTCTATAGCGGAGATAGTTCAAATGTCCAAGACGCTAAAGGACATAAGCTTGGGTCTGGTAGAGCTCGCCTTTCGCAGTGTGCTGAGTCACACCGACGCGGATGACAAGACGCTGCGTCATCAGAAACAAATCTGGGCTAATTTGTTAAACGTCGTTGTATTTGTGCTCAATCAGATACATTCGCGTGATCTGCGTATGGGCTTCTGCCCGGAAGGGCATTGGACTGTTTCTCGCTTGGATTTGCCACTGGACAGGCCAACAGATCTGCCATTGACTCACAGTAGTCGCATGCGCGGCATTCGCCCATTTCAGCCCATACGCGACTTTACGCGCGAGGACTTTGAGAACGGGCCACCCATGTCAACCAAACAAAAACGATCCATTACCATATTGCGCGAAATACCCTTCGTGGTGGCTTTCAATAAACGCGTAAGCATATTACAGGGCCTGGTTGCGGCTAACAAGATGCGAGTGCAGGGTCATCTGCAGGCCTTTCTGCAGGGCCCCTCCATTATGGTAACTGTGCGCCGCACGCATCTATATGAGGATGCCTACGACAAGCTGCGTCCAGAGAATGGTTCGAAACGAAAATGTTGTAATGCTAAATGTTTATTAATAAACTTTATTTTTCAGAACCGGACTTGCGCTTAAAGTTTCGCATTCAGTTTGTGTCCCAGTTGGGACTGGACGAGGCAGGCATTGATGGTGGAGGCGTGTTTCGCGAATTTCTATCGGAACTGATTAAAACTGCCTTTGATCCCAACCGTGGCTTCTTTATGTACGATTATGAGAAGCCAATATCCATTTAATTTAATATTAATGAATGTTTCGCCCTTAGGGTAACGACGGACAACAAATTGTATCCTAATCCCAATGTATCGGATCTCTTTAGTGACTTTGAGAAGCATTATTATTTCATTGGCCGTATTTTGGGCAAAGCAATTTATGAGAATTTGCTGGTGGAGCTGCCGTTAGCTGAGTTCTTTTTAACTAAACTCGCTGGAAAGTATTCGGACGTGGATATACATCAATTGGCTTCGCTGGATCCGGAACTATATCGCAATCTGCTTTACCTCAAGGATTATCCAGGCGATGTTAGTGAATTAAATTTGGATTTCACAGTAGCCAGCAGTTCGCTGGGACAGACGCAAGTGGTAGAATTAAAACCGCAGGGTCAGAGCACGCCGGTTACCAACTCAAATCGCATCGAGTATCTACAGCTCATAGCCAACTTTAAGCTCAACGTGCAGATAAAACGTCACTGTAAGGCCTTCCGCAAGGGACTGTCCAATGTGTTGCCCATCGAATGGCTTTATATGTTCAGCAACAAGGAGCTGCAAATACTCATATCGGGCGCCGAAATACCCATCGATCTGGAGGATTTAAAAAAGCACTGCAAATATGGTGGGGAGTATACGCCAGAGCATCCATCAATTGTTGCATTCTGGGAGGCTGTGGAGGGCTTCGATGATTTGCAACGGCGGCAGCTGCTTAAGTTTGTCACCAGCTGTTCGCGGCCACCGTTGCTTGGTTTTAAGGTAAGTTATTTTTAAAATAAATTCAATACTCTTTTCTCATTTAATTGTTTTCTCTTTCAGGATTTGGATCCACCATTTTTTATACAGAACGCTGGAGATATGGAGCGTCTGCCTACGGCCAGCACGTGTACGAATCTGTTGAAGCTGCCGCCTTTTAAGAACGCTGAACAGATGCGCGAAAAGTTAATATATGCCATACAGTCCGGTGTAGGCTTTGAACTTAGCTAAGCTGTGTCCCGGCATACCAATTACTACACACATATCGAATGCAATGAACCCACATAGAGACCGATTCGAGCGCCCATCCCAGCTGCAGGAATCGATGGCTGGCCAAGCAACTATTCCAGTTCACGTAGAAATTTAATTATGGAAAACATAATTAATTCTCTAATGTAAAGTATGAAGCTTATGAGGTCTGTTTTCCAAGTTTTCTTTTTAGTTAATTTGTGTTTTTTTCGTATTACACAATATAAATGTAACAAAAAAACGAGAATACGATTTGTTTTAGCACTTTTCATGTGGAAAAATTACGGAAAATGTTTGAAATCAAATAGTCGAAGCCTAAAGCCAAGCTCTTTAAATTTACGAGCCGCCCCTTTCCAGGCAATTCATGTGGTTGAATTTGTGTGTATATGTTTTTGAGTGTGTGTGTGCCTGTGTGTGTGTCCAGGCTGCTATTTCCGTTTCATTGCGACACAAAGCATGCGGAAGTGCACGCAGATGCACACAAGAGCTGCAGCACAAGCATTCAGAGGTACAGGTCCTGCTCCTGTCCAGTGCTTGGCTTGATTTAGCGCCATTTTCAAGTTGAATTTATACTTGATTACAAAATATTTTGCTTCCTTTCATTGATCATCAATAACAAATAAATGGGAATTTACTTTCAAATGTATTTCACATATAAAGTGTTTATTTTGAAAATGGGAAAAATAGAGTAAAATAACAGGTATGTTCCCTCCACACTGAAGCCAACTTTTTATTTGTTTTTAACTAACTTTTCAGTTTCCCAAGAAAATGTTGTTGCTTTTGAAGCGGAATATATAAATAAAAATGGGATGGTTTAGTAAAAATGTTTTAAAATATATAAAAACCCAAGGGTTGACTTACACCCTGGGCTCATGATAGTGGAAAACTGGGCTCACAAACCGTATCTAAATGCAGGGATACTTTTCTAAATAGCCTAAATTATTGCAGACCTGATCTTTATCTGATCTATATTTCTATATATCTTTATATATATGTCTTTTATCTTTGTATCTATATATCTTTGATTTTTACCATATATAGTCAATTTATGTGCCTGGCGTGTTGTATGATACGTTCGTAGATCATCTGCGGCGCCGTGGTCGCATAGAGGAAATCAATGTGATTATAGCCCCGCACCTGGTAGAGCTTGACCCGACTGTTGCGCAACTCTCGCACCAAATGCTGCACATCCCGTCGGCTGGACAATGCATCCCGGTTACCATAGAAGAGCATAAGGTTTAGGCGCACATTTTCCAGCTGATAGGTGGGTGGTGTGGCCTGGCCATAGCGCAGCGAGTTGAGCCGTGCCGAGCTATAGTCGTACTGTTGGAATTTACCTGCATGGACAGAGCAAGGCTGTAGCTGACAGTGCAACCCAGCATCCTCTGGTGCGGATGGTCATTGTCTTACCGCTGTTGATGAGCTGCCCAAAGTGCAGCAGTTGACCACGTGAGATGCCCGCCGGTGTCGTCTCCAGAATGCGTGGGAATATGCTCTGCAAAATGCGAAATTTTCAATTGATGAGGCACAAAAGCCAAAAGCCAAAAGCCAAGCATTCAAATTTACGACCTGCCCCACTGCCACTTAACTGTCAGCTCTCCGGAGTGTCTGTGCTTGAGTGTGTGTGTGTGTGTCTGTGCTTGTGTGCGTGTGTGTGTGTTTGTGTGCTAGCTGCTATTTCCGATTCAATGTGACACAAAGCACACGGAAGTACATGCAGCTACACAAATACACAAACAAGATCTGGCACAACGACATAAAGGAATGGAGGTCCTGCTACTGACCTGCTCCTTGGCCTGAATCGACTTAACGACTTTGTGTTTTTACTTTTCTTTTGGATTTTGAAATTATTATAACCTGTTCTAGAAGCTTAAAGATGTATTAAATAATATATGCAAGAAGTCAGAAAGCGACCTTCAGGAAACAGAAACTAATATTTATATATGGGGAAAAGATTAAATATATATTTAATAGGGAATAAACTAAGTAAACAAAATATAAACAAACTCTAGAAATATAAATCAAGGATTTGGCAAAAGAAATTTTTGTTGAAACTGATCAAGTAGTTGTAAAATGAGACTCAAAAAATTGCTGTATTCATTGGATGTTGGCAATTTAAATTATTGCTACAAAATTAATGTCACAATATACAAAATGCCAATTGAACGCAAAGTATTGCTTAGTTAGAAAAACATCTTTTGATATAATCTATAAATTTAAATGTTTTTTTTTTTTCTCTCTTTTTGAATTATTTTGACAGTTCCTCAGTCGGTTGTGTCTCACGTCCTGCGGCAACATATTTTGTTTTGTTTTGATGCTTATTTGATTTTCCGGCTGCCCGCTGCATTTTTTCTACTTCTTTCTATTCTGGCTTCTTTTCAATTGCTGCCACTTGCCACTGCCCCGCTGCAACTTGTGGCAAATAGTTTTGTGTGTCGCCTGCACAGCCGGCAGCTTGTTTGTGTTTCCAGAGTTCTTCTCAGTTTGTTGCATTTTTTGTTTTGTTTTTTTTTTTGTTATGGTTATTTTGTTGTTGCATCAAATCATGCTTCACGCATTGCAGTTGCAAAGTGTGCTGAACTTTATGTGGCGTGATGGCTGGAGGAGTGCGGGCGGTGGGGGTGGTGGTGGTAAGGCAAAGCGTCGTGCTCTCAGCTAAATATGCACAAATATTTATTTGCGCGGGCAGCGAGTAAAACGAGTAGGCAACGAGTAGGGGGCATGAGTGGGATTGAGTATGTTGCGATTGGGGCAGCGCGGGGCAGCCAGCTGTATATTGTGCGGCATGTTTGGCAGTTGTCACAGCATATCTTGCCCCTGCCCAGCCCTGGCCGCCACCAAGCCTGACGGAGGGAAGTCATCGCCTTGCGCTATTTGCTTAGCAATTTTGGTGCCTGTTCAGCGTCTGAGACTCTGCTCCATGCTCGTCGACTATTTGCCCGCTTGTTTGTTGACTTTTTTATGGGAGCAATGACGATTTCAGAGATACAGCACGCGGTTGCACTTAGCTTCTAGCTGCCTGTGGCACGAGCTTTGTTGATTTGACTTTAAATTTGAAATGTGAGATATTCGAACTTTTTTATTGCTGGATTGAGTCGAATGAAATTTTTAGCGTGTATCGGTTGCTCTAAGCTTGCATATGGAATTCTTAAAGGATAAATATGTATTAAGAGTAATGCAATAGGTGAAAGTACGTTTTACAGGCTGACCTAAGGGTAGACTTTCTTTGAAATAATACATAAAACATATTTATTATTTTTTTTTTTTTAAATAAAAATACACGCATATGTATCTCAAGACTAGTCTATTTAAATTCTTCGTTTAAATATATATTCAATATAAAAACTTTTATCCAGCTTTCAATTTCTGAGGTTTCCTTTGCCAAGTGATTTTTAATTGATTATTTTTAAAAACCTTACTTAAAAAAACTCATATTTTGACGAAGCGTAAAACAATTTATTTTGCTCTCCTGTCTCTATTGAATATGCTTCAGTCTAACACTTCTGTTATCAAAACAAGTTGAAGTATAAACCAAAGTTTTAGTACTGTACTACAGAAGAGATTCCGAAACTATCTATTGCCTGTCAAACTTTTGCACCTTTTTTGCAGGGCAGCTATAAAAGTGCTACAGCTTCTGCTACACACATACACACACACACACACACACACATATATATTTTGTGTGTGCTGTTTTTTGTAGACAGCCTGGCCAAAGCCAATTGCCAGTGCCCTTAGCCTAATAACTAACAGGCACTTGGCGCCAACCTCTTTGGGCCACTCTACAACAGGGCTTAGCCTTTTGAGCACGCGCCCCGAACGCCGTACAGATAAGCCATAAAGTTTGGCAAAAATAACACGAGCGCGATTTATTTGCCATATTTCATGGCAAAACAAAATTTAAATGTGCCGTGTGCGAAAACAAAAAGTGTTTAAGGCAACGTGGCGTATACGTAATGTGTGTTGTATAGTTAGCAACTGGAGAGCGCGGGCGGCAGGCATGAGCCCGTCGGTCGCGGCCAGGCAGATGCCGGGCCCCAACGGCTGGCAGAGGCAAAAGTTTAGCGCACCTTTTGGTGCACATTACAGCAAAAAATCCAGAGATGTATGAACGTGCGAACATCATCGAATATGCAATACACTAACAAATAGTATAAGTCACCTTTAATACTGTCATCTTTCGAGTCGCTTCGAACCAAAATTGTATTATTACAAATAAAAATAAAAAAATTTAAATTGAAAATTCATGGTATGAGCAAGTGTGGCATCAATTAAGGTATCGAAGCATTAAATATGCACTGTATTCATACAAAGTAAAAGTCGCAAAAGAAAGAAGTAAATTTTGCTAATTTTATAATTCTTGAATAAAGGCTTCCTTCTAGATTAATCTGAATTAATGGACTATGCTCTAGCTATTACAAGCTGTTTAAGAAAGCTAATAGACTTTTGGCGAAGACTGTGAATATAAACGTGCCACAATAGTTGGCACAACTGGCAGGAAACTGGGCAGGCAGCTCGTTTACGCATTTAAATTCAAATAACTTTTATTACCAAAACTAAAGCCGGCTCTTGAATGTGTTTTTCTGTGTGTGGGTGTGTGTCTGTTAGTTGTGTGTGCTAGAGTCAGAAAGGGGGTGGATGGGTGTGGTGCACTCCTGAGTGCAATAAAAACTTTTGCATACAACAAAACTTTGGAGCCGCTTTGTTGGCTAAATTATGACTGCATATATAATCGTACTCACACGATCCAGCGGATATTCGCTGAAGCCCACATAGAGCGATGTGAGGAGCGTGCAGAGCGCATAGGTGGGCAGCGCTGGACTGCAGATGAACTGCCCGCCCACCTGGCTCAGCGGCGTGGCGGGCAGCAGCTCGTGCAGGCCAAGCTGATTCAGCAGCAGCTGCAACAACACAAGCACAATAACAATACATTAGCCACGCACAACGTGTGGTATACGCAACATTAAGTATACGCACCGTGACGCCAGCCGGATCGCTGGCCAGCAAACGCAACGGCGGGCTGCTCAAGTGCTGCAAATACGCAATTGGCGCCAGCAGCGCAACACTCGCAAATCGCGCATTAAAGTCGGGCCGTTGTGCCAGTAGCACGAGCAGCACTGTGGTGCCCTGCGAATGGCCCACATAGTGCAGCTGTCGCTGACCCGTCACGGCCAGCACATGCTCCACAATGGCGGGCAAATCGTAGACGCCAATCTCATGCCAGCTAAAATCCCAAAAGGCTGGCTGCCTGGCCGACAATGTGCGATGTCTCCGGGATTCTGTGGTGCCCCGTGCATTGGGCAACCAGACATCGAAGCAGCGTGCATGCAGTTGGAACGCTAAGGCGCTTGCGCGACCCGCAGCCACAAAATCGCCCGCCGAACCGATAAGACCATGCATCAGCACGAATGGCTGTAGTGTGGGGCAGCTTTGGTTGCGCGGCGGCGGAATACGTTGTACGGTCAGCTGATACCCATCCACGGTTTGCACACGATGCACCTCACACTCCGCCCGATTGCGCTGCACAATTCGGCAAATGGCATCAAGACTGAACGCAAATTGGAGTCCATATCCCAATATCATATAAACCAGACACACACGCATTTTGCAGCACAGTTTTAGTTAAGACATGTTGCCTATCGCGCTACCAACGCAACTTACGAGCGGTGACTGTGGCCCAGTCGGAAGCTACTCACTGCTTTTTGTTCAACGCGGCGTATACGCAATGTAAATATAGTGTGGTAGAGCGAGAGCGAGAGCAACCGAGGGCGGTGGAATAATGAAATATGAGAGTGCCGAGCGCACGATTCAAATACTTATAAGCAGGGCCACAGCTAATGCCAACCATAAATAAACAAGCATTGAGCTCTGTTTGCTCGCAAGCCGACAATTGTTATGGCTAAAAATGATCAATTGCATAGGCCTAGAAAAGGTGTTACCGCTCGTAAGGGTATATTTGATGCGGACATGGCTAGCAGCAATATGCAATACGGAAAATTTTGATTTTATCTATAAATATAACTATTTTTCATGTCTGATTGACGGACTGATTGCTGATCAGCGCACGGATAATCGATATCGTTAAAACACCTGTGGAAAAACATTAAGCAACCTATCATAATCAAAATAATACTCTAAGACATGTTTATACATACTCACCGTAACTTATCTAGTTGATCTAACAAGTTTTTGGAAATTTCCACCTGTGAAAATTAGTGAAAACAGGAAAATTTGAGACACGTTTTATAGAAACTACCCGGAAGATAAAAAGCTTAGTCGTAGAATAGTTGGAGAATGGAAACTAGGAATCAAATTTGGGCTAAAGTAAATTTCGTACGATCAGGTTATAACTTATTTATAAAACTGAAGACTGTCTTGTTCGCTGAAAGGGTATCTGCTAGTTGCTTTTAATATGGGAAAATCAATATTCTAGCGTGTTTAACAAACTTTTTTTTTGTTCATGCCCAACTTGTTAGATTTATGCCAAACACTGTCGACGTGTTAATTGCTGAGCCCAAACGAACGGCTCCACATAAATAACTCATCTCGCTTGGTGGATCGCCGTCAGATGCCCATCTCAAACGAGAGGCCAAGTGGCGTCGGTGATGAGGCCTTGTCGCCCTAATTAGCGATAATAATTTACTGCAAAATGTTGTGGTTCAAACTGAAGCGGGCTCCAGTAGCTGAATCGTACGGCAGCTGGATTATGCGTGTCGTCGTATCGTACGACTGGCATTATGGACATATATACATAGTATATCGTTTCTAGTGCTGTTATTGTGAATGCGAATGCACATGTTTAACGGCCTATTTGATTTACAATTCGAATTGCGTCTACGTGCCGAAAATGCAATCGTGCTAATTAAAATGACCGCGATAGGGCGTGTGAAATTATTACATGGTGCCGATATGACGTCGAGTCCGCTTGGTGGGTCTCGCAACGTTTGCGGGTTGCATGGTGGGGGGGTGAGTGGGAGGTGCAGGCGCTGCACTGATAGTGCGGTTAGCCAGCTGGCTATTCGTTTTGGCCATGCCTCAATACAATTCGTAGAGAGGCACTACTAATAGCGCTGCGCATTGACGTCATCAACAAGTTGAGGCTGGTCATTGCATTTTGGGCTTATTGCGTGCTGACTGGGCAGAAAATCTGTTTGGCGGCATCAAATTTATGGCATTTGAAGAAAAATCAAATATTGCACCGTGTATAGATCAATCTGACAAGATATCTGTACAACTTCCTGAACGATTCCGGACTTTTGTCGAGGGGCACTGACATTGAATTCGTTATATTTGGTATGAAGGTTGTAATTATGTATATTTTTATACTCTTTACTTTTACTCAGAAAGCCCTATTTAAGAAATGATCCAAGTATATTGTGTGTATAGCATTTTTAAGCTATACTCAAGTTAAAAGAGCATAGAAATCTGTCAGCGAAAGTTATTAAATTTGCTATACATATCAGACAGAGATTAAACATCTTTAACGTTTGGGATAACTTATCAAGCTTTACTGAAAATTAAAAATTAAATTCCTTTGTTCAGACGCAATGAAGTGAAAAGAGACATATTAAAAATAAAGAGGAATATGTTTACTGTTTTATAGTTCCTTTTTGCTGTGGCCTGATGTTTCACAGAATTGTTAACAAAGCAATATCAATTACTGCTTAGCTTCTCTTGTCATATTTATAGCACCTTGTTGGGTTATCATCATAATTATCTGTGCATTAATTATGCTGCTTATCTATAGACATAGCTATGCATCTATTTATCTGTTCCCATCCATTTATGTAGAATTTGCACACCGAACGACTTAATTAAAAACGTAGTGCTCATTAAATTGAATGCAATTTCTCAAGCAAAATGCCAGACAACGAAAGCGTTGCACCTGCCCAGCATCAGACATAGACAAAGACTTGGACGACAGGATGATGCACTCGATTGTGTGTTGGGTAGGGAACTGGTGGCATGGGGTGGGGTGGGGTTGTGTTGATGACGACGTTGATGATGACATTATCTCATGCTCATTGAACGCAAATGTGGCGTTTTGTCGCACACCATAAAAGAGGAAGGGTGCAACATCAAGAACAAAGAGCCCATGTATAAAGCATAAGAAATGGGAAAGAAAACTGCAACCGAATTTTCTGACGACAGTTTTTGCCAGACATACATTTTCCACGGCAACGTTGAGAACGCCACCTCACTCCCGCCCCACGTCCGTTTGCCTGATGTCATAGGTTTATTGTTGTGTTTTTTGTTAAAAATGCTTTTGTAATATACCACAACAACAAGACCGTGTGCAATAGAAGCTGCGGTCTAGCTCTTCTCAGAACGGAAACTAATATAGGAGTCACAGCTGTGTCTTAGTTTGAAGTGAGGAAACCAAAATAACCTGATCTGAGGTTATTTTCAGTAATAATATACATAAATACTCATATTACTTAAATTTTTTATTGTATTTTGTACATTAAAATATTATTATATTGTTGTTTCTATTTATATTCATTTTTTTATATTTCTTAGCTGTAGAGAATTTAAAAACAAGATTTCTGAATCAATTAATTCTGTGTTTTTATACGTGTTCTACATTAGCGCACAGCCAATCGAGTGTTATGGAACTCTCCGCTCAGTTCACTTATCTATTAACCCACTTTTTTGTGGTGCTGTGGTGCAATCTGTGGCGTTTTTTTTTTCCTGTTAACATAATTCAAGAAATGCCAGCCACAAAGTTTTCCGGTCAGGTTTTTTTTGTTCTTTTGTTAACGAATTAAGTCAGCGAGCTTTGGGCGCATTTAAATTGACTTTAATCGTGGGTAGAGCCCCGCCGCCCTGACCATTAATCGCATTCAGTGGCAGTCGCTCTATTTGTGTCTCTTTCTCAGTCTGGCAGCGTTTACGCCAAGTACTTAACAACTTTAGTGAGCGGCGGGAAAAAAACTGCCGAGCGCCCAAAGTAGCCAACGCGCACTTAATACTAATGGCTGTCATTATCCTTTATCCTTTGGCTGTCGCTACAACTGTCAGTCTCTCTCTCTCTCTCTCTCTCTCTCTCTTGCTCTCGCTATTCCCCTTACTCTCTGTGTTTCTCACTGGCCAGCTGTTTATCTGGCCTTTTGTTGGCACGCACATTTATTAGGCAAACCAAAGCGCCCGCGCCCTGCCCCAACCAAGTTGCTTCGCAAAAATAAAGAACCTTAAAGATAGAGTAAGAGAAAGCAACAAAAAATTAACTTAACTCAATTTAAAAAAGTTTTCGCATTTTTTTCTGCTTTTAATTTTTTTTTTTCGTTTACTTTATTGTCTGTTTGCTGTTTGTTGTTTGTTGTTGTTTGACAAAAAACGAATTAAGCCAGCAAGCAAAACTTTAAGTAGCTTTTGTGTCGGAGAAAGTATTAAAATCGTTTCTCAAATGGAACTGAATGAGACAGAGTGCCGTCCGCCCACTCCACAGCCGCTGCGTGCACAAAAGTAAGTGGCCAAAGGATTCCATGCGCCAAGTGTCCTTGAGTCATATTTACTTAACTTTGGCTCAAGGGCCTGCCGGAGCCAGTGCCCATGCCTATGCCCAAGTCTTTCCTTCGCTCCCTGCTTCGTCTCCGACTCAGGGTCGAGCTTGTTTTTGTGTGCACAATTTACGCAAGATTTTTGATTTTTAGCTGGAAAAATGAATTTTCACCAGTTTTAACATAAAAGCATCAAAAACCCTTGAGTTGAGTTAACCAAATTTTTGCAGCAGATCATACTTTTACACATTATACTATTACAAAATTCTTTGGTCTCTGGCCAAGTGGATGCCATTGAGCTAAGAGCTGCTAAAGTATAAAGTTTTTTAAAATTTTATTATATTCTTCTGGCGCAAACTCATTCTGATAACGGAAATAATTTGAATTGAAGCTGATTAGAATAAAGAAAATAAATATATATCAAAATATCATAGAATAGAACAGTGTGGAGTGGTAAAATATATAAGTGCTATTAAAATCAGTGGAGGAATAAGTGAATAAAGCAAATGACATATAATTTCATAATATATTTATTTTCTTATTTATTAATGGACCACACGAGCGTGAACGAGTGACAAGCCAAGTATTTAATACACTAGCATAGCAAATTAAAAAAAAATCAGTACTCAGAATTCAAATATTTGTAATATAATTATTGACACGCCCATCTGGCCATTTGTCAATAACATTGTCATTGTTGCCAATAATTGTCATATGTAGGAAGACAATGCCGAGGATTATCTCACGGTTAGCTTAAAAGGGAGGCCTTAATAAAAGAAACCTATCTCTTATATTAACTGTTAGTTATTTGATTAGTAAATTATAAATTTAAAAAAATGCTTTGATTAAATAGTTAGTTAGTTAGTTAGACACCGAAAAGTTATCTTTAACCGATACATTCGAAGCATTTTGTATGCCTAACAGCTAAATTTCGTTTAATTTTGAACTAAAAGTAAATTTCATGTGCAATCTGCAATTTTCTTCGCTAGTGATTGCTCTTAATATCTTGGGCTAAGTTGGCGTTGGCTTGCACAGTGGCAAAATACGCTGCCAGGTGCTTACACAATTTGCCACAAAATCAGAGTAAGATCTAACCTTTCAAGTGGGCCAAGCCATTAAGTTTTATCTTTGTGCGAGATTCGCGCTGCAGCTATATTCGTTTGCACAGCAGAGACACGCACCCAG